TGAGAGCCAGGGCTGGGTCTGTCTTGTTCTCTACATCCCCAGCACCTAGCACTGGCCTAGCACACAGTGGATAACTGAATGAAGAGAACTCCTGGGCGATCACAGAAGATGGAGCCACTTTGGGAATCCACTTCAGTCAATAGGAAAGGCACATTTTCACCCACCGTTTTTCAGATTCATTTTTTAGTGCCTTTAGGAGCCTTTCAGGTAGGGCAAGCGGATCTGTTCTGGGGTGGAGATGGATAAAGAAGGTGGGCCAAGGAATATGATTCTGCCACTGGTTTTAGAGCATCCATTTGTTCCTTCATCAGGCACCTGCTATGTGCCAGCTGGAGTCCCTGCCCTCAAGCTTTTAGTCTGCTGGGAGCGAGCTGGATCCCATACAGTGGACTGAGTGCTGTGCTGCAGTGGGAGCCCAGGCAGCCAGCAGTGAGCAAATGTGCCTGGAGCTTCTCCACAGCTCTCTTAGGCCTGTGTCTCAGGCCTGACCTGCCCCCGTGACCCCCCACCAGGAAGGTAAAGTCCCTGGACAGTCTCCCCAGCACCCCCGTCGGGAGCCCCGCCAGAAGAGGGGTAGTGACAGGCAAGGAGTGGATCCTCCAGGTAAAAAAGTTACAATAATAATGATGCTAAGAGCAAACACTGAATAGCGTTCATATGGCCCAGTCACTGTTCTAAGCCCTTGGCCTGTGTTAACTCAGACCAAGAGTTTATAGCCCCTCCCAACAACCCCATGAGGAGGTATCAAAGGAGGAAAAGTAAGAATGACCCCACAGGAGGGACACCCTCAGCATAAGCATCCTAACGGTCACTGCTGATGACAGGCCTGGAGGGTTTAAACTGCAGGGATTTGGGGTAGACACACAGAAGCACTTCCTGACCGCAAGGACTTGTGAGACTCTAACATAATTCCCCTTTCAGAACAGACATTGTCTGGGACACACTCCGATGGTGTACGGGGGAAAGGGGGTTGGACTCCAGATGACCTCGCTCATTGAAATGTACTGAGTGCCTTTCCCCGCCAGGCGCTGACCTCAGAATGGTGGAGAGGACAGATGGGGCAAGATCATTCAGTGCAATGTAAGCCCAGCGCTAAAATCACGGGTCTGGGGACAGGGAGGGGAGCGCGGCCTGCAGGGGTGGGAGCACCCAAGATGCGCAGCGTGTGGTGTCAGTGGATGCCCCGACGGCCCAGAGGCGCGGGCTGGGCACCCTGCCCCTCCCCCAGGGTGACCCGTGTGACTGGGAGCGCCGGGACTCTCTAACGTCAGTGCTGCCTGCGCACGCGCCGTCATTTCCGGTGGGCTGGGCTGGGCTGGGCTGGGCTGGGGGTGGAGGGGGCAGCGCTCACGCTCTTCGGGGAGGGCGGTTACATCTTCAAGTCCCGGATCCTAGCTCTCCCGGGGTTCCGTACCTGTGCTTTGGTCCCAAATCCAGCATCTGGGCTTGCATTTCTCGGGAGCTCGGGTGAGAGCTCGGGGAGCGCTCCTGGTCGCCCGAGTGTGAAACTGACCCCAGGGGAATCATAGTGCCCAAGGCTGAGGGGACATCGAATCCACCGAGGCTCTGACCATCAGCATCGAGTCTTGATGCCCCTGACAAGGAACACCACGAAATAGGTCTGCTTGACACGCAGATGAGGTACCAGGCTCTGGGGGTTACCAAGGTCGGGTACCAAGGTCCCACCCCTGGGCTTGACTCTGCCCTGCTTAGAGGAAAGGCCAGAAATGGATCCCAGGGCGTGTTGGCTGGTAACTCAGGGAAGCTGAGGAATTTCCTTCTTCAGAGGTAGATCTGGGGCTTCCCTGGTAGCGCAGTGGTTGAGAGTCCGCCTGCCGATGCAGGGGACGCGGGTTCGTGCCTCGGTCCGGGAAGATCCCGCATGCCGCGGAGCGGCTGGGCCCGTGAGCCGTGGCCGCTGAGCCTGCGCGTCCGGAGCCTGTGCTCCGCAACGGGAGAGGCCACAACAGTGAGAGGCCCACGTACCGCAAAAAATAAAAGGTAGATCTGATTTTCCTCCTCATGGCATAGTTTAGGAAATACCAAGTCTGCCCTGAAGGCACTGGGAGTGGTCCCACTGGGCACCACTGGTGAACCAACCCAGGCAAAGGGCCCAGCACAGGCCTGGCAGACAGCAGGCACCACACCCCTCATCCACCCAGCCTCTACCCTCTGTCCCCTGCAGAGGGGACAGGGAGGCTCCACCAACCTGGCAGAGTTGGTTGCCCAGCTTCAGCTCACTCCCACCCCACACCAGCCTCATGAGATCCAGGGACTCCAGCCTGAATCACTCCACCCTGTGCTCAGGCAGCAATAAGAATTCAGCCTTTGTGACATTTATTTATCCCTGCCAGGCAATGCTTCTGTGGTTGGGGCAGGGAGAGGGTGTCCACAGGGAGGGAGGGTATTTTGGTCATGCTGAGGGTGTGGTCAGTGTGGTAAAGGCCAAAAGCTGAGAGATGACCCAGGAGCTGGATGTTTTCAAACATGGGGGTCTTCTAAGGCACCGCTGAAACCATCCTTAGCTGTAGGCGTTGGCGGTGACTTTTCAGGTTGAAGGGTTGCCTTTCATTGCTGTCATCCTCGCTGCACAGGACATGGCCCTCAGCCCTTTGCCTCTTCTCTCCTCTGGGGACTCCTTAAACTCCCTGGCTCCTGTGGGTACATTTCCACACAGCTGCAGAATGAAGAAATGAACGAATGGGAAGGGATTTGGTGGTTTTGGAATGTGACCAGATCCCTGTGGAACAGCCACCCAACCTGTTCGTCCCTTAGATTCATTTTGTCCCCATCTCAATAAGTGGCATCACTGTCACCCAGTTACTGAAGCCAGACGTCTAAGGCATCACTCTGATTCTTCAGTCAATTCATCTGCACATCTTAGTTCTACACCTCAAATATTTCTCATCTCGCTCCATTTCCACTACCACCAGCCTTGCGCATCACAGTTACCTCCCTTCTAGATGATTGCAAAAGCCTCCAAACTGGTCTTCTTGCTTCCACTCTTGCCCCCCTCCAATCCATGCTCCAAAATTGCTAGTGATATTTCACAACTGAAAACGAAAAGCCTTTTATTGGTTCTCTCTGTGTACTTGGGAACGAAAAAAAAAAATCCCAACTCCTTCCCATGGGCCTAACTCCAGTTCATCTGTCTTCTATCCTCTCCACTCCAGCTATGCTGGGCTTCCATCAGTTTCTAACATATGTCGAGCTCTTAGGGCCTTTGATCTTGCTGTCTCCTCTGCCTGGAACACCCTCCCCCCAGAGCTTGGCATGGCTGGCACCATCTTATCCTTTAGGTGTCAGCTTAGATGTCACCTTCTAAGGGAAATCTTTCCTGAACCTTCCCCCCAGACTCTCTCACAGAAGCCTGTTAATTTCCTTCACAGCACATTGCAGGTTGTAATCACTTATTTATCCCCACTAGAATGTAAGCTACACGAGAGCAGAAACTACCTGTGTCTTAGCCATAAGGTGTTTTTTTCCTTCTTCTTGAGTAAACTATTCTATTAAAGTATAACATTCAGAGAAGTGCACGTAAGTATACAGGTCAATGATTTTCACAAATGAACACACCTGTGTGTAACCAACACCCAGATCAGGAAATAAAACACTCCTGGCCCCTCAGAGTTCCCCCACGTCTCCCCAAGGCCAAATACTATCCTGATTAGATTTGTTTTGCCAATTTTGAACTTTATGTAAATGGAATCCTGACCCCCAAAGATATCCATAACCTAATCCCCAGAATCTTTGAATATGTTACTTCACATGGCAAAAGGAATTTTGCAGATGTGGTTAAATTAAGGATCTTGAGATGGGAAAATTATGCTGGATTATCCAGGTGGGCCCAATGTAATCACAGGGTCTTTAAAAGTGGAAGAAGGTGGCAGGACAAGTCAGAGTGATCCAGTGTGAGAAGGGTCACCTGCTGTTGATGGCGTTCAAGATTGGGAAAAGGGAGTCATGAGCCATGCAACGTGGGCAGCCTCTCTCAAAGTTGGAAGAGGCAAGGAAAGAGACTCTTCCCTGGAGCCTCCAGAAGGGAACAAAGCCTTGCAAACAACTAGATTTCAGTCTTCAAGAGCCATGTCAATCTTCTAACTTACAAAACTGTAAGATAATAAGTGTGTTTGTTTCAAGCCACTAAATTTGGGGTAATTTGTTACAGAAACAACCGTGGCTCCTTCTCAAGAAGTTCAACAACTTGTCACATGTTGATTGGGTCACTTTGGTCATTTGTGAAGTGTTGGTCAAGCCTTTTACCCACTTTTCTACTGGGCTGTTTTTCTTTTTCTTGTGGATTCGCAGGTGTTCTTTCTATATTCTGGATACAAGTCCTTTGTTTGATGTATTTGCCATATAGATTCAGAGTCGGTTATACTCAGGGTGCTTCAACAGTACCAGCACATGCTGGGGCCTAATAAAAGTGAGTTACATGTATACTTGAGTCTGAAAACTCCTTTAAGGAAAGAATGCTCGGATAAGTGACACTTATATAGTTTAATGGGTATAGTTGGGTATAGGATATGAATCCCAGGGAGAGGGAAACAGGACCTCAAAGGGAATGGCCCAGAATGGAGGTAACAGTCAAAGTTCACCACTCCTGGAGTGAGGTTTCAGGCCACAGGCATTTAAACACAATTTCTTAAAGGTAATTTTTGATTAATTTTCATTCATTCAAAGAGTGTCCGTGGAAGGTAGCAGTAGGTCAGCCTGCTCTAGGCACTGAAGAGCCAGCTGTGAACAAGAGCGACAAGATCCTTGCTTTCAGGAGATCTACGGGGAGAGAGAGACAATAGGTAAACAAAATAAAATGATTTTAGGCATTGAGATGTAAACTGGAGTCGACTGTGAAGGGAAGGTGGGGTCGGTTCAGCAGCAGCCGAACCTCAACGCTGCGGAGATACCGCCCTCGGCCCCGCCTCCAGTTTTGCATACGTCTCCTGATTGGCCATCGGCGGTTGGCCCCACCCCGCGGAGCGGGCGGCTCGGGAAGCGCGGGGCGGACCCCGCCAAGATGCCCCGGCGGCTCCTGGTGTCGCCGGGGGGGCGGGGGGCAGCGCTGGCCGGAGTCGGGCAGGGGGTGCCCGCCGCGGCACCCGCTCGCTCCTAGCGCCCCAGACCTGCCGCCCGGGCTTGGGCCCTCCTTGCCGCCGTCCCGCCCGCCGTCCCCGCCCCTCCACCCTTTGTGCAGCCGCCGCCCGGTGCCCCGGGCTCTGCAGGACCCCAGCCGGACCAGACCGCGGCAGCGAGCCAGCCCCCTGTGGGCGCCAGGCCGACGGCCGATGGCGAGGGGGCGCGGCGCGGGCGGGGGCACTGCAGCCCGAGTCCGCGACGCGGGAGGCTCGGCCCGCCTCCGCCGCATTGTCCCGGGCCCCGCGCCCCGGCCCTGAGCCGCGCCGCCGCAGCGCCCAATTGCAGCCCGCCGCCTGCGGGGCCATGCGGAGGGCCGCCAGGATGGAGGACTTCACCGCAGAGGAAGAGGAGCCCTGGTACGACCAGCAGGACCTGGAGCAGGGTGAGCAAAGGGGGCAGGAAAGCGGGGCGCGCCCCGCGACCCCTGTCCGCTTCTCCATTGTTGGGCGGTATCACCCCGGGGAGGGCTGGGCTGCACCCGGCATGCCGGACTGAGAGAGGAGATGCGTCTGGAGAATGGGGACGTGGAGAGAGGGGGCGCTGCCCGGGAAGACCCGAACCAAACGCGTGAAGACCTGCAAAAATGGGGGGAGCGGTCTTCCTCTTTGCCCGAACAACAGGGGCATACTTCAGACAGTTTGCCCACCCCGTCTTAGAGGCAGGAACTGCCCAGGCGCCCCGGGTATTGTTGGGGGGGTCTGAGAGTACTGGCTGGAAGTCTTTGGAGGTCAGGAGGTGGCTCCTTGGTTGTTTTGCTGAGAGGGGTTTTGGGGGGCCAAGGGGGGAGGAAGTTATCCCCATTCCAAATCCAGCGGCACACTTCCCTGCCAGGATTCCTGAGCTCCTAGAAAGTTTCCCCAACTCCCTTCCCCTCTACCCAGGGAGGTGATGGGGGTGCCGGCACCTTGCCGATGGAGAAGCGGAGGCTACTAGGAGTCCAATCTGCCTTCCAGAGGGAGGAGTCCCCTGGTCCTTCCCCTGCTGGCCTTCTCCCAAATGGCTCAAGGTTTGGAGGGGATCAGATTTGGGAATTCTGAGCAGTGCCCCAGATCAGAGCCTGAGTAAACAGGGAGTCACTTTCCCCTCGCTCCCATTTGAGGGCAGAGAGGGCGACTGGAAGGGGGTTGATGAGGTGGCCGAGGTGACGTCACTCCAAGTAGGGGGTGGGGCTGTTAGGACAGGAAGGAGGAGGAGGCCTAAGAGGGTCGGGGCCAGGGCCTGCTGGAGTGAGATCAAATCCAACCTCTCCTCCCAAGAAAAGTGCCTCATTCTTGGATGGTCAGAATTGGAGGCGCTAGGAAACATGTTCTAGAAGTGACCACAGTCACCCAGCAAGCCTGGTGGGTGTGGACACAGCCTGGTTCAGTGTGTGCGGACACCCTCTGCTCTGGGTCTCCATCCATGGGGCCCAGACGCCTGCCTTTGCCCTCATGTGAGGCATCTAGCCAGATCCTGGAGCCTTTGTTTTCCGGCCCTGACCCACATCCCCACGTGGCCACATTTGCTGGTAGATGAGGCGCTGCCCTTGTGTTCAGGACCGTGGGTTAATCAGAGCCTCTGCGGGACCAGTGTAGGATGGGGGGGGGCGGTGCTGGGCTGGACCGCACCTCTGTGTCCTAGAGGCTACCCTCAGCCTCCCTGCCTGGACTGAAATGCCCAGTCCTGGCTGCAACAACCCCCTTCCCCATCCTGGGCAACTACCCCCAAAACCTCACATTACACAAACACATATCAGGCTCCACTTAAGTGTCAGACACTATCCTGGGAGCTGGGAGTAGTCCCAGCCCTGGCCTCCTGGGTGCACCTGAGTAGGTGGAGTTGGGCTTGTAACTGAGTGGGAATGATAGGATGCGGTGAGAGGGCTTCATGGAAGAGGCGGGCCTAGAAGGAAAGATTGGAAGCTGAGTGCCTGGGAAGATGGCCTCCTTGGAGGCAGAAGCTGATGTTGTTGCTGTCTCGTTTCATTCCCGCACCCCTAAAGGAGTCTCTGGCACTGTGCCCGGCCCAGATGTGGGAGGAAGGAGCTAGGGAGTAGGGGTGGGAGATGTGCTGCATCCGCAGAGGGAGAGAGATGTCGAGATTCCAGCTGGGCCGGGCAGCCATGCTTTGGGTCCGGGGTCGGGAATGGGCCCCACAGGCCCCTGCTTTTCTGGCCTTACTGGTCTGCAGCAGTCAGCCTTGCCTCGTAGCCTGAGTAGCAGGCAGAGCCCAGGAACGAGGAGGGAAACCAGAAATGAGACAGTCTCAGAAGACACTGGAGCTTTCCACCAGAAGCCAAACGTCTGCTTGCCGTGGGCCAGGTGCTGTGCTGAGCCTGGGACGTGATCTCCGCCCTCGCAGCCTCCACAGTCCGGCAGAGGAGGCAGAAATGGGATCAGACTAGCAGCTGTGACGGAGCGACGGGCTCTGCAGCAGTGAGCCCCTACGGACAATGAGAGCAGAAGTGAGGGCCTTCTGCTGCGAGATGCGCAAAGGCTTACACACCCCTCCGAGCCGGAGGGTGAAGAGGGCCCTCCCGCCCCGCCCTGGCAGAGGAAGCAGGCCGGCAGTCTAAGTGGAGGGGGCGCTTGTACCGAGGCACAGAGCCATGCGAAAAGACCACGCATGACTGCAAAGTAGGAATTACCTGGAGTGCCGGGGTGGGGGTCGGAGGAAGTCCCAGGCACAGCTGCTGCGGCACCCCATGGGGACCGGCACGGAGGGCTGGATGGTGGGGTGAACGCGGGCCAAAGGCCAGACACGTGGGGGATCGGGTGCCTGTTCTTCCCCCTTCCCCACACCCGCTCCCCAAATTCTCTCCCGCCCAGCTGCCCCCAAGTTGCCTCTGAGTGTCCCAAGACATGGTTTTTCTCAGCTAGCCCCAACTCCCCTGAGGACGGGCCCCAACTTTACTTTCAGATGCTTGCCCATCAGGCTCCTGGTTGACTTTGATGCTGTTCCGTCCCAGTGGAGGCAGGCATCTGGAACAAACAGGGTCCTCCTTTCTCACTGCGTTCCCTCTGCCCACTGCCACGAGCACCAGTAAAAATAGAAAAAACCATTAATTATTAAGCGCTGGCACTCTCTCTCTGCCTGCCTCCCTCCCTCCCCCACCTTGGACGAGGTGTGGCCGGCCCTGTGGGTACCTCTTTCCAGGCTGAGAGATGACTGCTGAGTCACAGAATTGAGGTCCTGGGCTCCTGACCTTGAGTCTCAGCCTCAGGGGAGAACTCTGACATGGCGAGGGGAGGGAGGTGACCAGACCCCAATTCTGCGCACCCAGGGTTCCTGACGTTGGTGCCCCGGAGGTTGTGAACAGGACCCCTGCAGCCCTGCCAGGTGGTAGCTGGCCTCCTTCTGCCCCCTTTATCTTTGTCTTTTCTTCCCTATGTCCTCTGTCCTTTCCCTACCTCTCTTCTCTGGAGTCTAGGGGGTCCCACCCTGACCCCAACCAGGAGGGGCAGTAGGATTTTAGGATTTCTCTTCAAAGACATCCCCTGGCTTCCAGCCATTCTCTCTAGGGCTCTGGGGCATTGCTCCTGGGCAACACCTCTGCTGGCATTCAGAGGGCAAAACTGCTGCAGCCCACTGCAGGAGACCCCAGAAAATGCTGGGGTCCAGGCAGAGGAGATGCCAGTTCAGACTCAGTACCTTCCCTGGCCTGGTCCAGTGTAACCATTAATCTGGCTGTGACAGGCTGTTCATTACTCCAGATTCCACTTCTGGCTTAGCCAGCTCCCTTGTCCTCCCACTCCCAGGACTCCCTACCCCTCTGGTCCAGAGGGAACTGCACCCTCCCCGAAGCCGAAGCCGTGCCCAGCCCTCATCTAGCTGGTGTCCTTTCCCCAGCACTTGGCTCTACTCAGCTCCCTGCCCTGCAGCTTCTAGACTTCTCTCATGATCCCTCCTGGCAGCTCGGACCAGCTTAGCTTGCATTTGTGATCCCATTTCCCTGAGACAGTCTCTGGGATTCTCCCCAAGCCGCTTCTATTGTGTTCCCTTCCTGCATCTCGCATCTCGGAATCGCTAAGCGGCCCGGGTCACATTGGCTGCCTTCAATATCCCCGGTTTACAGTATGACTTGCAGTATGACAGCTGCCCCAGCCCAACCCACTGGCAGTAGGAATACACACACAGCTCAGATGCTCACCTGGAAGGAAGAACATAAAGTGCAGTTGTTCTTGGCCTTTCCTCACTCTGCCTCTGACCTTGGACTCAAGGTTAAGTTTCAGGGGCTTCATGCAGGCCACCCACAGAGCCTGTCCTCCCACACCAGTGCAGGAGGTAGCATCCCTAGCAGCAGCCTCGTCACAGACGACCTGACAGTTCCCAAGGGTAAAAAAAAAGTTAGTGTGACCGTCTGTTCTTTTTCATGTATACATGAATTACTTGATAGCATTTGTGGATGAGCCAAATGTCCACCATCCCGTTACAGAGAGCAGGAAGCTGGCGTGCCTCCCTCGTCACAAACTTGGGGTGGTCTTGCCGAATTTCCACCAAGCACACAACATAAGTTGATCTGACCTCCTCTCTGAGACCACAATCTGATCCTAGGCTTCCCTTACACATATATTTATATATTTAAATATAAATAATAATATATTTACAAACGTTAACTTTTGTTTCTTTTTAAAATTTTTATTGATGTATAGTTGATTTACAATGTTGTGTTAGTTCCTGCTCTACAACAAAGTGAATCAGTTACACATGTACGTATATCCACTCTTTTTTAGATTATTTTCCCATATAGGTCATTACAGAGTATTGTGTAGAGTTCCCTGTGCTCTACAGTAGGTCCTTATTAGTTATCTATTTTATATATTACCCTTTGCTTCTAAAAGGAGTTAGGCCTATGTATGGGGAAATATCCACCCCAAATGTCTAGGTACCCTCACCCAACTTCAGACCCACTGAGAGAATTTTTAGGGATTCCAGCACCTGCCATTCCCTTCTAACCCCTCCCCTTCCCCACGATACAGCCCCCTAAAGACAGGCCAGATTCCCTCCCGACCTCTCTGATAGGTGTTCATTTACCTTTGGCTGGGATTGGGGAGAGGAGGTTCCGGTCCCACAGGGCACAAGAATCGGGGCTACTGGGGGAAGAGGTTGGTTTTGCTGCCCGGGGAAAGGAGAAGGTTTTGGAGAGGGGCATGTGTCACTAGGACCTAATGGTACCCAACTGGGGTGAGGAGATGTGAATTCTGCTTCCAATGTGGCTGTAACCCAGGTAATGAAACCTTGGGTAGGTTATTCTTCTTTCCTCTTCAACCTGTCATCCATAGAATAAGGAGGTTGGGCCAGAGCTTTTTTTTTTTTTAATATTTATTTTTATTGCACCATTTTTTACTTTCCTGTTTTCTCTCTCTCTCTCTTTTTTTTTTTTTAAATATATTTATTTATTGGCTGCGTTGGGTCTTCGTTGCTGCGCACAAGCTTTCTCCAGTTGCAAGCGGGGGCTACTCTTTGTTGCGGTGCGCGGGCTTCTCATTGCAGTGGCTTCTCTTGCTGCGGAACACAGGCTCTAGGTGCGCAGGCTTCAGTAGTTGTGGCGCGTGGGCTCGGTAGTTGTGGCTCGCAGACTCTAGAGCGCAGGCTCAGTAGTTGTGGCATGTGGACTTAGTTGCTCCGGGGCATGTGGGATCTTCCCAGACAAGGGATCGAACCTGTGTCCCCTGCATTGGCAGGCAGATTAACCACTGTGCCACCCGGGAAGTCCTGGGCCAAAGAGCCCTGAAGCCGTGTCCAGTTCTAACACCCAGCAAGCCCTTCTGCCCCTCCCCCTCTCAGTAAGCTCCAGCCGCCCTTCCGAACCCAACTCCAAGGCTGCTCATTGCCTGAGATTCCCACTGTCCCCTGCTTGAACTCTCCCTTACCTATCATCCCAGGGCACTTTGCCCCTATGTCTGCTGATGCTCTTATCCCATTCCACTCACTCATTCTTTCAGAAAAGATTTCTTATTCACCTGCTCTGTGCCAGGTATTGTTCTAGGTCCTAGGAATATCAGTGACCAAAACAGGCAGAATCCCTGCCCTGTAAGCTTACGATTTAGTCAAGGGAGATGAACAAGAAAAGGATCCAAATTGTTTGGTAAATTAGGTGGTGATATGAGCTCAGGAGAAAACTGAAACAGGGAGGGAGTGGGGCATGGGGCAGGGTGCAGTTTTGAGGTCAATGAGGTCAATGTCTGAGGAAGGCCTCCTGGAGAAGGTGACATTAAAGGCAGAGAGGGGTGAGCCCTGGAAGTGCCTGGGGAGAGGACATTCCAGGCAGAAGTGACAGCCAATGCACAGGCTTAGCTTGTGGCTTACATCCCCTTCCAGGCCTGGAGTCTCCCCAGGAGTGGCCCCTGGGTCCTGGTTCTCTCAGGGTCCCCAGAGGCCCAGCCCAGAATGAGTGCTCAGAACAGGAATGGCGGGGGTCCTCCAACTTCATTCTCAGCTGCTCATATCCCCCCCCCTCCCCCTCCCCCCCAAGACTTGCACTTAGCTGCGGAGCTGGGGAAGACGCTGCTGGAGAGGAACAAGGAGCTGGAGCAGTCTCTGCAGCAGATGTACTCCACCAACGAGGAGCAGGTGCAGGAGATTGAGGTGAGGGGCCACACGGGCCCTGCACAGGCTCTGCCACCGATCAAGGACCCCTTGGCCCGTGTGTACCTTTGTGCAGCTTAGGAACAGGCGCCCTCTTAGCAGGCCCAGCCTTGGCCCAACAGCCTTGTGCAGTTCACAACCTGCACAACTGTCCCAGGCAGCCCTATTGCACCACCATCTTGACACCTCCCTCTGCTGCAGACGAATACCCCAAAGCAAACCTGTTCCTAGAAGTGGGAGGAGGGCCCAGGCGGAGACATTTTCCCCAACACAGTTCTGAAAGGTTACTCACCCACCCCCACCCCCAGTACCTGACCAAACAGCTGGACACGCTGCGGCACGTGAACGATCAGCACGCCAAAGTGTACGAACAGCTGGACCTGGCGGCCCGAGACCTGGAGCTGACCAACCAGAAGCTGGTGCTGGAGAGTAAGGCTGCCCAGCAGAAGATCCATGGGTGAGGGCCGGGTGGAGGGCTGGGAGCCGGGGGCTGGGGATGGCCAAGGAGAGGCCCAGGGCTGGGTGTACATGTGTGCGTATTGACCAGTGGGTGTGACTCAGTCTCCTTCTTTCAGAAGCCCCGGTCTGGGAACCTGGGATGGTAGTGAGTTTGTCCTTGTCGATTTGGGCTGGCTTAACATTCAGGACACAAACCTTCTTTAAGCACGAGCTACACACCAGGCTCTGTTTTAGGCACTGGGGAATACAGTGATGGGGATGCAAAGACACTGTCCCGCCCTCTGGGAGGGAAGGCAGACACGTAAATATTTTATTGCAAAATATTTTATTTTATAGGGTGATAAGTGATTAGATGGGTGTACAAGGAACCGAGGAGACACGGAGGAGAAATGGTCAGCTCGGCCTGGGAGGCGGGGGAAAAGAGTGGGTCCTTGGGCGTACAAGGAGTTCCCTGTCTGACCTCAACACCGGGCAGCATGGCTCAAGGTCACCTGTTTGTCCCCCACCCCCAAGTCCCCCTAGGGCTGCAGTGAGGAGGGCTGGCCCCGTCCCCTTAAAGTCCCTCCCATGCGTGTGTCCCCCACCCCATCCCCAGGCTGACAGAGACCATCGAGCGCCTGCAGACCCAGGTGGAGGAGCTGCAGGCCCAGGTGGAGCAGCTGCGGGACCTGGAGCAACTGCGAGTGCGGCGGGAGAAGCGAGAGCGCCGGCGCACCATCCACACCTTCCCCTGCCTCAAGGAGCTGTGCACCAGCCCCCGGTAGGTGAGGGTGCCACTCGAGGGCAGCAGCCTGGACCCTGGACCGTGTCTCCGAGTGCCCGGGGCTGCCAACCACGGCAGGGAAGGGCGGGGAGGCGCCCTGCAGCAGGTGGGAAGGAGAGCTGCCGCATTGTCCAGGCTATCGGAGGGGCTGCTCCTGTTACTACGACAGTCAGCAGCTGGCTCCTGTGAGCACTGGCCGTGTGCCCACCACTCTGCTAAGTGATTTAATTCTCACGGCAGTACCTTAAGGTGTGATTTATCGTCCCCAGTACTCAGAGGAGGAAATTGAAACTCCGAGATCATGTGTCTTATCCAAGTTCACCTGTTTGTTTAGTAAGCCAGAATTCTCACCCAGGAGGGGTTAACTATACCTTTCAGTTCTCATTAAGTCTTTTGAATAGGACGACTTCCTAATGTACACACGGTGTATTTAGTGGGTGTTTCAATAAAGGTCCTGGCAAGAGACAGCCTCCGCCCAGAGTAACTGAGGAGTGCTTAATAAAGAGGTGTGGGCAAGGTGTGGGGAAACCAGGGGGACACTGCAGCACCCTGGGGTTGCAGTAGCAAGGAGCTGTTACCATCCTGAGGCCTGAAGGGAGCAGGAGAAGGGAGGTTACTGGAACCTGGAAGGCAGGGAGAGCGCTGTCTGGCCTGCAGTAACCAGGAAAGGAGCCCAGGGGGAGACATTCCCCGTGACCTGCCTCTGCCCCCGCCCCCATCCCCCTGGCCCTCCTGCCAGTGCCTCCCATTGGCTGAACCCAAGAGAGAGCCAGGAAACCTGGCGGAAGCTAGGGGCAACCTCCCAGGGCAGAGAGCAGGGGTAGAAAGGCCGAGAGCGACTCTAGGTGGGGCAGCCTATCCAACCCCGTCGGGGAGAGAGATGCGGCTGGGCTCCCGGGGCCTTGGCCGTGCCCACCACCCTCTGCCCACCTGCCCCTGCTCCCTCCCAGGTGCGAGGATGCCTTCCGCCTGCACAGTTCCTCCCTGGAGCTGGGCCCGCGGCCGCTGGAGCAGGAGAACGAGCGGCTGCAGACCTTGGTGGGAGTGCTGCGCTCCCAGGTGAGCCAGGAGCGACAGCGCCAGCAGCGGGCTGAGCACGAGTACGCGGCGGTGCTGCAGGAGTACTCAGAGCTGGAGCGGCGGATGTGCGAGATGGAGGGCTGCCGCCTCCGCGTGCAGGAGCTGGAGGCCGAGCTGCTGGAGCTGCAGCAGATGAAGCAGGCGAAGACCTACCTGCTGGGCCGGGAGGACCACCTGGCCGAGGCCCTGCTGGCGCCCCTCACCCAGGCGCCTGAAGCCGACGACCCCCAGCCGGGCAGCGGGGACAACTCGGGCACCCAGGACGGGGTCTCCTCTCCGGCCGCGTCCCCAGGCCACACCGTGCGCAAGAGCTGCAGTGACACGGCCCTCAACGCCATCGTGGCCAAAGACCCGGCCGGCCGGCACGTGGGCAACCTCACGCTGCACGCCAACAGCGTGCGCAAGCGGGGCATGTCCATCCTGCGCGAGGTGGATGAGCAGTACCACGCGCTGCTGGAGAAGTACGAGGAGCTGCTGAGCAAGTGCCGGCAGCACGGGGCGGGGGTGCGGCACGCGGGCGTGCAGACCTCGCGGCCCATCTCCCGGGACAGCTCGTGGAAGGACCTGCGGGGCAGCGAGGAGGGCCAGGGGGAGGCCAAGGCGGGCGAGAAGAGCCTGAGCCAGCACGTGGAGGCCGTGGACAAGCGGCTGGAGCAGAGCCAGCCCGAGTACAAGGCGCTCTTCAAGGAGATCTTCTCCAGGATCCAGAAGACCAAGGCCGACATCAACGCCACCAAAGTCAAGACGCACAGCAGCAAGTGAAGGCTCCCCGGCCAGTGGCCTCCCCCAGGGTCAGGCCGTGGGGTCCCTCTTACCTGGGCTGTGCAGCCTCTGGTGAGAGAGGGAGCCCTTCAGCAGCAATACACCGCAGAGGGAGGCTGCTCTCTGACCCAGGGAGCATGCGGGGGACACCCGTTCCCTGCTGACGGGGGAGGCTGTCAACACCTCTTGCCTCCCAGGACCCTCCACCACCCCGCGCCAGCCCAAAGGCGCAGCCGAGAGTCTGCAAGCCAAATGTCCCCACTGCCCGCTCTCCCAGCCCCCACTCCCCGCTCTCCCAGCCCCCACTCCCTGACCCTGGGCCTTGCTCTCAGATTTGTGGCCAGGCTTCTAGAAGCCATTCTGGACCAGTTGGCTTTCTTTTTTCAAAGTTCTATTATTTTTATTTTTTTGAGAGATTTTTTTTTGCAAGGCAGGGTCTCCCTGACCCCTCGCCACAACTGAAAACACTTGAAGGGGGACCCCAGAGCCAGCTGTTGCAGGTTCCAGGGGTCTCCTGGACCACCCACTGCTTCTCCAGCTGTGACACACTGTTATTCCCTTAGCACCAGCTGTCCCACCTCGAGGGTCCTGACCAGGTCAGAGACGGCCCCTGCCATGCAGAGCAGAAAGCCTGAGCCAGGCCCGAGTGGCCCGACTCCAGCCCTGGTGAGGGCGGGCTTCTCCCTGGAGGTCCTCAGCCCACTGCAGATCTGTAGCCAATCAACTCAGAGCCAGCCTCCCCGGGTTCCAGCCCTGGAAATGCCTTCTGGGTATCAAGCCTTCCAGGGGTCTGGGCAGTGGGAGCCCCCTCTCTCTGCATGCCTCCTCTGACTCACCGAGCTTGGCCTCTGCCTGTTCCCATCTCAGGGACCATGATGTGTCTCATTCACTCCCCTGCTCCCCCCAGGCCCACCCCACCGCAGGTCATGCCTGCCACCCCCAGAATGTCCTGGATGTGTGCCACCAGCCCATGGTCCCAGCATCCTCCCCTGCCCCCCTTTACTGGGGCCTGCCCAAGAGTCTCACCCCACACTGGGCAGTATTGAAATGGGACCAGATGGGGAACATGTCTCCTCCTTCCCATACAATGCCTGCTTTTGAGGACCCAGCTGGGTCAGGGGTTTAATCTTTTGTTAAGGCTTCAGAAGGTACAGCTTCAGCTAAGAGCTTCAGCTAAGAGATGCCCAGGTCCCCCGTTTGCCCTGAGAAATTCTTCAGGGCTCCCAGTTCCTTCTTCTTGAGACCCTAGAAATCAGAGGAGCCATACAACGCAGTGGAAGTCAGTAGCCCCGGCCTCTGTGCTGGGAGCCCAGTGGGGAGCCTTCATGCCTTATTTGTTTCTAAGGGGTAAAGGGGTTTTCTTAACAAGCCTGCCCAACCTCCCTGGAGGCGCCACCCTGCTTTCCAGGCGGCACTGTGATGAGAGTTGTCAGCTGGTCCTTCCATTCACACATCTTGGAACCTTTGGTCCGTTGGAGCTGGGCAGCTCCCAGCCATCCGTGTGTCTCTGGCACCTAGGGTGGAGGGGGTGGGGTGGGATGGGATGGGTGGGGGAAGGGCTTCTGCCTGTTTGCTCCCCGGTTCTGTAGCTGCTGACCAGCGTCATCTTCGAAGTATACATGAGAGAAATATATTTACAAATGCTTTATTCTCTTCTTTAATAAAAAACGCACCAGTAATCTAAAGCCAGAAATGGAGCCATGGTCCTGTCTCTGTGCATCTCATACACCCGCCTCCCATCACACAGCTATCTATGGGGGGGAGGGGCACAGCCTGAGCTTCACCAGCCCCGTGATTGGCAGCCAAACAGCTCTAAGTAGCAGGCTCTTGGAAGTTTCCATATTTGTTGAGTACCAGCTAGGCCGGTCACGTTGCCTTGCAGGGTACCCCGTGGGGTGGACCCTCCTTGCTGTACTGATTTTGAAATCCCTCCTCCCAACCCACACCTGCTTTTTGGTTCACCAGCTTTGTTGCTCTGCGGCATGTGGGATCTTCCAGGACCAGGGCTCGAACCCGTGTCCCCTGCATTGGCAGGCGGATTCTCAACCACTGCGCCAACAGGGAAGCCTTCCTTTGCTTTTTAAATCACCCTGGCCTTCAGCAACCTCATGAGGCAGCGGTAAAACCTCTGTTTTACTGATGGGGATCCCGAGGCTTAGAGGTTAAGTTAGTAATCCAAAATCACGTAGAGGGGCTTCCCTGGTGGCGCAGTGGTTGAGAGTCCGCCTGCCGATGCAGGGGACATGGGTTCCTGCCCTGGTCCGGGAAGATCCCACATGCCGTGGAGCGGCTGGTCCCGTGAGCCATGGCCGCTGAGCCTGCGCGTCCGGAGCCTGTGCACCGCAACAGGAGAGGTCACAGCAGTGAGAGGCCCGCATACGGCAAAAAAAAAAACAAAAACAAAAACAAAAAAAAGCACATAGAAATAGTCGAACCCAGACCTGATCAATCCCATTGTGTGATACTTCATGTTCCGCACCTCCACGTAATGTTGAGTTTTAAGAGCCAGTCTGACCTAGGGCACTCCAGAAAAGAAGAAAGGAAAATCCTGTGGACCCCCTCTACATGGGTGTGGTACCCCAACTCACAGCTATAGAGAAGGCCTGGTGTCTGCAAGCTCCTCAGCTACCAGAAATGGCTTGATGATCCTTTATCTTTTCTTCCCCTCTTCTCACCCCTATGCATGTCCCCTTCCTGAGGCACCCATTCAACCTATGGAGAACCAGAGAAGGGAAGAAGGCTGGCCTCAGCCTTCAGTGCCCCCTTTTTAAGGGAACAGGTGGCACCTCTCAGGACTGTTTCTCCCAGAAGGGCCTCTATGCTGGATGGTTCTTGGCAGCAGCAGGTGAAAGGAGCTTGCCAGCTGCTCCTCTATCCACCACAGGGTAGCTTGTTCCATTCTCTCCTCTACCCCTCCTCTCCCAGAATCCAGGCCACCAGATGGCCTGAGCAGGCTGTTTATTTGGGGCCATGGAAACCTACAGCTTCCTTTTCCTATCACTCTGGGTCAGGCGCAGAGCTGGAGCCCAGCCTCAGAGCAGTGATGCCATGGGATGGTGGTTTTATTCGTAATCCCTGAGCCGTCAACCTGGTCAAGTCCCTGGCTTTGCTCCCCTGAGCAGCTTTTTCCAGTCACCATGGAGACGCCTCTGTTCCCTCTGAGGTCATGGGATTAAGTCAGACAGGGAGGGTCCCAGGAGACTCCCCTTAAAGCCTAGAGCCCCAAAAGCGCATGTCAATTGCCATTCCCTTCCTAGTCTGGGTTTGCAAAGCCAGTGCTTGGGAAGTATTGTTTTCCCTCCTAAAGAATTTGCCTTTATCAATGAGGCTAAGATGGTAAAGCCCTGACTTGATGACAATCTCCTATGTCAAACAGCCGCATTCTCAGGGACATGTTTTTCTAGGTAATTGTGCTTTTCCTAAAAATAGAACCCGCCATTAAGAAATAACCACTAATATTACTAATAATCACTAACATTTATTGAGCTGTTTTCGTTTACCACACTGCCTCTCGACAAAGCAACTTAGCTAACATTTACCTGTTTCCAAACACTGCTTGCTCTATTTTAAACCTTTCTCAGAGTTAGAACTTCTGTTTTCAAGTTCATTTTTTAACAATCCTGTAAAAAGGTCTCTGCTTAGGCTGTCTGTGGCTCTCTGAATCTCTACCTACTTCCCCATCCTCCCCTCATCTCCTGGCTTGGAGAAACTGCCACCAAGCTCCACAAAGCAGGCGGGCTGGGGCGGGTGTCCACTGTCTAAAGTATTTCTTTCTCTACCTGCCCGCCTCTCCTCCATCCTGTTATTTGTCCTACAGAGCCTTCACACAGGTGCTCAGCAGGGATTTGCTTTTAGGCTGTCTTGTGAATGAGCCTGAAGTTACTAAAACTCAGCTCTGGCGCAACTCAACTTTCAAAAACACCTTCCCAAAGAATCCCTTTTAACAATATTTATTGAGTACCCATGACGTGCCAGCTTCTGCGTACTGGGGATCCAGCAATGAGCCAGTGCCCTCCTGGAGGTGATTACATTCCTGCTGGGAGACAGGCAACAGACCCAAAAATAAGATTGAGCGATGTGAAAAAAAAAAAAAAAGTGGCAAAGAGTAAAGGGGATGGAGATGAACCTGGGCATGCTTCGTTGATGCTGTGAGATTTGGGGGAACATAGGTCCAGGAAGGCACAGACCGAAAGGGAGAAAAGTGGTGTTTCTGGGGGACACGGCATCCGGGGGTTCTTTTCACCAGGAGGCTCCCTTGCGAGCTCGCTGTCTGGCCAACGTCTTCCCCATCGCAGCAGATGCCCTCAAAGCACCAACCAGGCCTCCTGAAGGCGGCCGACCAGAAACCTCTAATATGCTCCGCGCGAGAGCAACGCCGGGAGCTCTGCTCGCTTCCTCCCCATGGCAGGAGCTAAAGGTCTAGCGGAACCAAAGTCTCGAGGGAAGAGCGAGCCCACGGACCGCGGAAGAAAACGCCCACCGGAAGCGGCCCCGAGACCCGAACATGGCGGCCGTACGGTGGCTGCGCTGGGGCCTGAACCGAGCCGAATCCTGGTTGCTCCCGCTGCCCGCGCGCTGCCCCCACCGGACTCTGAAAAAACAGGTAGAGGGTACCGAATTCCAGAGCATCTACAGTCTGGACAAGCTCTACCCCAAATCGCGGGGCTCGGACACCGCCTGGAGGGTTCCGGTGAGCCGGGAGGGCCGGACGGAAGGGGCGTTTCCTGGACTCTTGCTGGGTGACGTCGGGCAGCCGGGGCCCCATTGGCCGGGCGTGCTGCTAATCCAAGAGACGGACGCGCTCAAACATGGCGGTCGCCGCGGGAGGAGGCTGGTTGCCCGAGCAACCGGGGGACTGGGGCGGCTGGGCGGTTGGCGGCCCCCCGTGTGGCTCGAGGTGTGCCGGCGCCGGGAGAGCATGCTGCCTATGCTTCTTACAAGACCACCAGCTTTTCCGCATTTATTCCCCGTCCCTCAGGCCCAAATTCTCGTCCCAAGGGAAAAGTGCCGTCCACAGAGGACAATTAAGTCAGGAAGCTGCCAAGTAGCTCCCTTTTGGAGCCTTTTTAGCAAGTGACGTGGTCCTTAGCCTCTAGTAACCCCAGCACGCCTGAGGAAACAGAGCTTCTGGTTCGTTGCCTCAGGATACCTTTATTGACAGCCCGCTGTGTGCAGGCGCTGTATCAGGGCCCGGAGCAGGAGAGTTTGGACCCACCCTGTTCTATGGAGTTTCCACCTACAGGATTGGAAGAGAGCGTTCATTCATTTATTCATTCATTCACTCACTTAACAAACTTCCATTGAAAGCATGGTGTATACACGATGCTAGGCATGGGGACAGAGTAGTGAACAAAACACAAAAATCCTAATGCTAGTGGAGCTTATCTGCTTAATGGAGGGAGACAGGCAATGAAGAAAATCAGTAACATAGAGTATGTGATAAGTACTTCGGAGAAAATAAAGTCCGGAAGGGAGAAGGAGTGCTAAGGTAGGGGGTGGGGTTACAATTGTAAGTAGGCTGGTCCAAGGAGGCCTCTGAGAAGGTGATGCTTGAGTAAAGACTCGGGAGAAACAAGGCAGCAGGGAGCCGTGAGAAGAGCAGGGAGAGAAGCATCCCTGCGGAGGGAACAGCAGGTGCCACCCCCCTCAAGGCAGTAGCATGTTCCGCTGGTTCAAGGAACAGCAAGCAGGCCAGTGTGGCTGAGCAGGGGGCTCAGATATGAAGCTGAAGGGGAGAAGGCTGTGGGGAGGCCTTTGTATAGGGCTTACAGGGCTTTAGTTTTGCCCTGAATGTGATGGAGGCAGAAGAGCGGAATGATCCACCTTAGTTTTACAAAAATCACTGTTCTAGAGAAGAGGTTGCAGAATGGCAAGAACAGGAAGACCAGTGAGGAGATTGCAATATTATAGGCAAGAGATGATAAGCAGGGTGGAAGCAATAGGAGTCATGAGAATTGGTCAGGTTCTAGATAAATTTTGAAGGGAAAGCCTACCGGATTTGCTAATGGATTTTCCCTGAGAAGTGAGATTAAAAGAGGAGTTGAGGTCTAGGGCCTTGAGTAATGGAAGGATTGTGTTGCCATTAATGGAGACGACAGAATGGTAATAGCATTCGTTTGTCTGTTCATACATTCAACAAAAAGTTTCTCGTGCACCTACTGTGTCAGACACTGTTGCAAGCGTTGCAGATACCACCACGATAAAACAGAGTTCCCACTTCATGGAGTTTATGTTCTAGCGGAAGGAGCAGACAGTAAACAAATGGGGAAAACATATCAGAGAGCGAGAAGTAATGAATAGACCAGAGTGTTTCGATGTGATAGCCAGGGAGCTACTTCAGGTTGTTAGGAAGGGAGGTCCTCTGTGAGGAGGTTTGAGGCATCTGTTAGACTCGAGAGAGGAGACCTCGAATAGCAGTTGGCTTTACCTCAAGAAAGAGGTTTGAGTTTGAGCTAGAAGGTTGGGAGTCATCAACAAAGTTTTTTTTTGTTGTTGTTGTTGTTTTTGTTTTTTTTTTTTTAATTTGGTGGTGCCCAGCTTGTGGAATTTTAGTTCCCACACCAGGAATTGAATCGGGCCCCAGCAGTGAAAGCACTGAGTCCTAACCACTGGACCGCCAGGGAATTCCCAAAGGCGGTATTTTCAAAGGAGATGGATGGAATGTTCTAGGGAACGAGAGAAGAGGAAGGATTTCAGGACATTTCAGAGTTTTTAAAGGTTGCAAAGAGCAAGCAAAGGAGAGTGAGAAAGTCACGGGGAGGTAAGAGGAAACTGGAGAGGCCAGCTCAGAAGGAGGGAAGAGCGTGCTTCAAGGAGGACGCAGCCCAGGGTCTCTACGATGCAGAGGTGGAGTAGGATGAGATTTCACCCCCAGATAATTCTAAGATGAAAAGAGATGAAGGGACTTCCCGGCGGTCCAGTGGTTAAGACTCCAAGCTTCCAGTGCAGGGCACGCGGGTTTGGTCCCTGGTGGGGGAACTAAGATCCCACATGCGGTGCAGCGGGGGGGTAGGGGTGGGGCCCGGGGCCCCCCTCCCCCCGCAAAAACGGGGTGGTGGGTGATGAACGCAGCCAGAGCGGGGACAGATGAAGACACTTTGAGCTTGGGGGCACAGAAGAGCCTCAGAGTGGGTAGTGTTTGCACTGGGCCTGTGGATGTGAGGATTTGAGGCTTCGGAAGAACAACTCGGGAGAGACGTGAAGGTGAGAGGTCCTGGGGTGAGTAGGTCAGCTTGACACAAACCCTCAAGGCAGATGTGCTAGTCACTGTTGAAGGCAGAGAGCCTCACATGCGAGCTTCCCGGGGTCTGGGGAGGAACAGGGGACCCATGGTTTGTTGCTCCAGGTCGGCAGAGGGTGTTCCTTTTGGAGTCTGCCTGATGTACATGTACTGTGGCACCTTCCCTCCCCTGGGCGCTGGTAGTTCCACACTAGCTAAGTGGAGTCAGGGGGCAGCGGCAGGGAAGGCTGGAGAAGTCAGTTCCGTTTCCCTGGAGGAGTGTTTCTGAGGCAGTACCTCTGGAGTCTGGGGACGATGTTTCTGTCATCCTGATACGATTTTGCTGGAGACCTGAAAATAGTTGTATTACATTCATGTCGTGGCTTTACATCATTTCTGCTTTGTTGCCCTGGAACAGTTAGGAGTCGCCCAGTAGGTAATATTTATTTGACACCGTGTATGTTACATTACAGGATGATGCAGAGCAAGCCAACTGCGACATTCCTATAGGTGAGTAGTTTGGGCTTATAAAAAAATCAGTCATTTCCTCTACCCCTCACACATTCCTTGCAGGTCTCTCCAAACCAATGAAAGTAAAGAAACTGTCTGGGGTTACAAAAGCAGAGTCCTTTCAGCATTGTTGAGAATAGAAAGGAAAAAAAAAGTGATGAGGCAGCCACTCCAGAGTGCTGTGCAGTGCCCAGCACGAACAGAGAGCTCTTGATGGTCTTGTGACGTGGAACAGTCTTTACGATAGATGAATTGATTGTTATTTGAAAAAAGTAAGGTACGGAAGCATCTGTATAGTGAGCTACCATTTGTGTTTCACTTACATATATCTGAAAGACACATTTCTGGATGTACACGTAGATCTGCGAGGATGTGAAGGACCCTGGATACAGGGACTGCCGTGGGGAGGGCAGGGGAAAGGACAAACCGGGAACTTGGTGGCTGGGGAGCAGGAGTGGGGACTTCTCCCTGTAAACCATTTGCATAACTTCATAATTTTGTGCCCATCAAGCCTAAGGCGTGGCCTGTAAAGAAACAAGCAAAACCCTCCTGAGGTTCAGAGAGTTTCTGGCGCGCACAGACAATGAGAGGAGAGCAGCCAGAGGCGCCGGCTCCTGGTGGCCCTTGCTCAGGGTGACCCTGAAACAAGGAGGCCAGGTGACCATGGTCTAAAGCAGAGGAGCTGGCGTCCTGCGGCTGCTCAGGGTGACCCTGAAACAAGGAGGCCAGGTGACCACAGTCTACAGCAGAGGAGCTGGCGCCCTGCGGCTGCTCAGGGTGACCCTGAAACAGGGAGGCCAGGTGACCACGGTCTACAGCAGAGGAGCCGGCGCCCTGCGGCTGCTCAGCAGTTTGAGGCCCGCAGCTGTGCCCTGAGGCAGGAGGAGGCCGAGACCCAGAGAGAAGGGAGGCTGTCTCCTGACAGCCTCGGGGGGACGGGCAGGCAGATGGCCGAGTGGCCGCTCCTCAGCTGCCTCTGCTCGTGTTCTCTGAGAGGGGCCCAGGTCTCCCCGTGCCTGGCTGGCCTGTACGGATGCAGACAAGGCCACCAGCCCCGGGGTAGAACCGCCCCCCTCTCCCCCCGCGGAACCACACGTATTCCTCACCTGTTCAGAAAAATGAGTTCATTTGATTTTTCAAAGGGCTTCTCAGAAGCCATCTGGCGAGGTCACCGCTGCCTGCTGAGGCCGGCCCTCCACCACCACGGGGCCGCATTCCTCGCCCCCCAAAGCCCCTGCAGCTCGCCACCCAGTCTTCTGGAACTTTTCCGCTGCTCTGCCTTCCTGGCTTCCCTCAGATACTACGAGGCTGCTTTTCATGAATTACAAAAATAGAAGGAAGAAACCTCATTTTACAGATCCAAAACAGACCAACCAAGACCCAGAGAAGCGGTGGGAGTTTGTGGAGGTCACAAAGTCAGTCAGTGATGAGCTGGTGTTAGAAGACGGGGCTCCCAGCTCCAAATGGAGCGCTCATTCACCCAACAGGTGTTTTCATCCACTGACCGCGACCGAGGCCCAGGGGTGCACGCGCAACTCACGAGGAATGAGAGCCACCTACCCTCTGGGGAGTCCACATCCACTGCATTTCAGAATAGAACATTAAACTCAGTTTGTCCCTTAACTTGAGCTTTTGAAAGAGTCCTTGCTTTATTTTTTTTTTATTTTATTTTATTTTTTTTTGCGGCACGCGGGCCTCTCACTGTTGTGGCCTCTCCCGTCGTTGCGGAGCACAGGCTCCAGACGCGCAGGCTCAGCGGCCATGGCTCACGGGCCCAGCCGCTCCGCGGCATGTGGGATCTTCCCCGACCGGGGCACGAACCCGCGTCCCCTGCATCGGCAGGCGGACTCTCAACCACTGCGCCACCAGGGAAGCCCTGTTTTTTTTTTAATAAGGCTTTTTGTGTGTGTGTGGCTGCTTTGGGTTTTTGTTGCTGCGCGCGGACTTTCTCTAGTTGCAGCGAGCGGGCTACTCTTTGTTGCGGTGCGCAGTGATGTGGTGGCTTCTTCTGTTGCGGAGCACGGGCTCTAGGTGCGCGGGCTTCAGTAGTTGTGGCACACAGGCTCAGCAGTTGTGGTGCACGGGCTTAGTTGCTCCACGGCATGTGGTTTCTTCCCGGACCAGGGCTCGAACCCGTGTCCCTTGCATTGGCAGGCGGATTCTTAACCACTGAGCCACTAGGGAAGCCCAAGAGTCCTTGCCTTAAAACAAACTAACAGCAAAAAGCAAGGGCAGTCAGATCTAGTGGAACATACTAGACCAGAAGCAGACAACCTGGGTTGGAATTTTACCTCCTCTGCTCTCTCCGTGGCCTTGGGAGGCCCTTGATTTTAGTTTTGACATCTGTAACTAATCTCTGACTACTGATCTGAATGTCACGTCATTGAAAGAGAGACGAATTAGGGATACTGACGTCGATGGTAAGTTAGCAGTTTGCATGTTTTGCCCTGTGATAATATTTTGTTGGTGTGTGTTCTGTTTTTCAGATCGCTTGACAATATCTTATTGTCGGAGTAGTGGTCCTGGGGGCCAGAATGTTAACAAAGGTACAACGGTGCCTTGTTTTCTTTCACTTTAAAGCTTTTCTGAGAGGTGGACTTGAGGACTTCTGTGTTTACATTCATGTGGCAGTAAAGGGATTTTTTTTTCAGAAGCTTAAATACCGCCCGTTTATGTCATAACCCTCTTTACTCTCCTGAACGTGGCCTGATTCTCAGACTCAGTTGTGGGTCGCTAGGACTAGGACTGGCTTGGGAGGCTAAGCAAAGGGAAGTCACAGTGTGAGCTGGCAGCCAGCTCCAAGAGCAGGTTTCCTTCGTTCTCCTGGACCCGCTCCCTGCTCCTCCACCCGCCCCCCCACAGTCTTTTCAGAACCCAGTACATTGTAAGATTGCTCCTCCGCGCCCCCCACGTTCTTTTCAGAACCCAGTACATTGTAAGAGGAAGAAAGCACTAGGCGTTTTGTTCCTGGAAGTTTATTTGTGTCTGGATGTGCCTCACTATCTTTGCAGGCTCATTCCATAGCCCAGTTTGTATCCCCGAGTTCACACAGGATAGAAACAGCCCCGGGTGGGTGTCTCACCTCCCTGTGGTTCAGAATCCGGTGGTCACCAGCCACCCGGGCGCTGAGCCTGCCCGAGCGTCTCAGTGACCCGTGCCCCCTCCCTTTATTTACAGTAAATTCCAAGGCTGAAGTCAGGTTCCACCTGGCCAGCGCCGAGTGGATTGCAGAGCCTGTACGGCAGAAGATGGCGGTCACGGTAACCACGGGCCCTTTCCTTTCTCTTTAACCCTCAGTCACTTTTAGGCCTTTACTCTGTAGAACTCTGGTTTTGCCTTTGTTCTCCGCAGCACAAAAATAAGATCAACAGGGCAGGAGAGTTGATCCTTACCTCTGAATGCAGCCGCTATCAGTTCCGAAATCTGGCAGATTGCCTACAGAAAATTCGAGACATGATTACTGAGGCCAGCCAGCCAGCCAAGGAGCCATCCAGAGAAGATGCTGTACTTCAGAAAATCAGGTACTGGAAAATTCCCTGAGCTTCTGTAAACCAATTCGTGTGGACAAGGGGCTACACAGGGAAGAAAGGAGGCACGGTGAAGCCCACGACCTGTCAGCAGGCAGGTGGACAAGCTCCGGGAATGGGAGAGACTCGGACCCGGAGTGGAGGCTTCTGGGCCGGCGCCTGCTGCTTCGGCTGCTCTGCTTCCCGCTCAGCTGGCAGCTCCTCTCACCACTTTGATAACCACTGATTGGGCATCTGGGCATAATTGTGTTTTTCTTTGTTTTCAGGATAGAAAACATGAATCGGGAAAGGCTGAGAAAAAAGAGAATAAATTCTGCCATAAAGACAAGCAGGAGGGTAGATGTGGACTGAAATCATCCCCTCGAGCTGGCAAAGACCCTCTTTAGGGCCTCCAAGCAGCTGTCACCGAGGGAGCTTTAACACCATCAGGAGACGCGTGTGTCGTTTGTTGTCAGTGCTTGTCTGTAACATTGGAACCATCTCAGGAATGCTCATCTGGAATGAGGGTTGTAGGCAGTGGTTGCAGAGGTCTTTACAGGCAATTACCATGTTGTCAAACCTCTATTATCCATTTAATATATTAGTTGCAATAAAGTTCTAAACTCAGCGGGCTTCCGCTTCTCAGAATGCTTCAGAACAGAATTCCTCCCTTTTCTCTCAGTTTAGATCTGCCTAATAATTATTGGCTGATTGTACAGCCCCGGGGGAGCACAGAGGGATGAGCCCTTTGGGAACACGGGGCAGAAGGGCTGAGACAGGTGCGTGGGCATCAGAACTGGGCCTGGAGACAGGGCTAGAATATTAATCAGTCGAGGGCCGGGAGGACACGCCGGTTGAAGCGAACAGTGTGAATAAAGGAGACGAGAGAGAAGGCTGCGGTGGAGGAGATGAGGAATCCGTCTGAATGGGGATTTGTCCAGGTCGTCGTGAGAGGTGAGTCTGGAGAGGGAGATAGAAGTTCAAGGTGCAGGGTCTCGGGTTCAAATGAGGAATTTAGATTTTTTTCTTTTTTTAAATTGTATTTATTTTTGGCTGCGTTGGGTCTTCGTTGCAGTGCGCGGGCTTCTCACTGCGGTGGCTTCTGTTATTGCGGAACGCGGGCTCTAGGGCACAGGCTCAGTAGTTGTGGCACACGGGGTTAGTTGCTCCATGGCATGTGGGATCTTCCCGGACCAGGGCTTGAACCTGTGTCCCCTGCATTAGCAGGCAGAGTCTTAACCACCGTGCCACCAGGGAAGTCCCGATAAATGACTCTTACGAAATACAAAAGATGTGGAAGATAGGGTCCCTGTCCTCAAGGGACTCAGAGCCCAGTAGGGAGCTGAGGCTCATATACAAGGAAGTGCAGCATTCTTTGGTTCATTAATTCAACAAATATTTATTGAACACCGGGCAGTGGGCCAGGTCCTGGGGAATCAGCAACGAACAAAACAGAGTCCTTCTTCCGGAGAACTTCCATTTGATCAGAGGATGATAAAAGCTGAGAAGAAAAATGGATTCGTCTGGGTAATGTGACCTAAAACGTGGTAAATAACACAAGAAAGGTCTAAATAGATTTTGGGAAGGAACTAGTTCCAGCTGGATGGTCAGTGAAGATGTACTTGATGTGCTTGAGATGGGATGGAAGAAGGGGAGGGGCTGGCCAAGGGAGCAAGGTAAGAGCTTGTCACCTGGAGGCTCCAGTGATGGCCAAGGGCCCTGCCTGTGGCCGGGACAGTAAACCATAGTATTGAGAGAATGGGCTGTGAAGCCAGCTGCCCTGGATCAGCTGCTGACTTCCACCACCCCCAGCTGTGCAACCTTGGGCAAACTACTCGGCCTCTCTGAACCTTAGCTTCACCATCTATAAACTAGGGATGATGTTGTTAGTGCCCACCTCGTAGGGTGGTAGTGGTTAGTGGCACTGAGCCTATACCCAGGGAATGTTAGCCATAATTAACAGTTTAGCCATGATTAAACAGTTCCAGTTTGGCTGGAAGCCAGGGGGTGAGGAGCTGTGGAAGACACACCTGCCACCTTGAGTGGGAGCCAGGCCTAGAAAGGCCTTAAATGTGACAGCTAAGACATTTAGACTCCACCCCTACAGAGGCTGTCAGGGGAAGATTAATCTGACTGTGACTGAATGAGAAAAGACTGCGGGGAAGTGGACACAGGTTGATGGACAGACCCATGTGAGCAGTTAGGGACCCATCCTGGAACTAGGGCAGTGGCTACTGGCATGGAGAGAAAATAGCAGGTGCAAAAGGGTTATGGGGACAGAAAATTGGCTTGGGTGGAGTGCGAGCTGGTGTGTGACAAGGGTGCTGAGCTTTCAGCCAGGAAAGTCACCGAGGGAGCAGGCTTGGGAGGATGGTTGGATGATGGATATGGTTTTGCCTTCGAGGAGCTGACTTTGTGGGGCCTGAGGAGGAATGCTTAGGTGGAGATAGCCAGGAGAGGGAATGGAGCTGGAGCTGGGGAGTGAGGTCAAAGCTGGAGATGCAGGACAGGGGACAAGTAGAGTCTTGGGAATGGAGGAGCAGTTGAAGATGAGGCAAGGCAGGGAGACGCTTGGCAAGACGATGGTGGCAGGAAACCGGAGAGGGCATCTCTCTGGTTAAACTCGAGCCTAGTGCTGGACCTGTGAGGCCCTCAGAAGACATTGGTGGCATGTGAAGGGACCTGGAAAAGCATTCGAGATACGGAGGAGGGGAAGGAGGTAAAGAGAAACAAAAGCCAGGGGACAGAGAGTGGAGAACAAGGGCAGGACCTGTCATTTAAAAAAAAAAAAAAAGGTTGAGGGCAAAAGAAGGAACATGGGTGAACTCACAGACACAATGATGAGTGATAGAGGCCAGACTATAAAAGAATATGATTCCATTTGTATGAAGTTCAAAACCAGGCAAAACTACTGCTTTATGGTAACGAGAGGGAAGTATTTACTCGGAGGCAGTGGTGACTGATGGGGAGGGGATATAAGAGAGCCTTCAGCGGCGCTGGAACTGTTCTGTATCTCATCCAGCCATGACCTTAAGATCTGTACACCTTACTGCATGGATGTTACACCTCAGCAAACAGACCAATTAGTAACTGAAAGGAGGACATTCTCAAGGCTGGAGACTGGAGCCAGGTGGAGTACATTCCTCTTTCTTGCTGGTATTAAGGGTTTGTGCAGACTCTATACGTGGGTGAGAGAAAAAAAAGAATGTCTCCAAGTCCCTGGAAGGCAAAGGTCTCAACGCAGGCACCACAGGAAGTGAACACTGCTCTTGGCTAAAGCTTCTCCTGTTATATCTTTCAGATCCGCATGAATTTTAGTAATGGATTTTAAACGTGTGTAACATTTTAAAATGTGCTTTTTCTGTATTTGTATTACCTTTTGCATAACAGTTTAAAGGAACAAAATATTAGAGTGAAGTATCTAGTTGGGTGATCCATTTCTTTCCTGTAATATTATATATTTGCATACGTATATATTTCTACTATTAAGACTGGAAGGATTTGTTCCTCCCCGTTGTACATCGTTTCATGATGGGGGATTTTGACTTTGTGTTTCAGTATTTGTGATTGATACTAGTTTGTTCTCCTTCCCTTCCTACACTACCTTTTCCTAAAATTCTTGGATTTTCTGTCAGTTCTGTAGAGGTGGACAAAATGGCCATGGTGGTAAAATTTGGAAATGACTACAAACGGCAGTCTTCACCCGCCATCCATGATCCAGGTGTCCAGCAGCCTCAGCGCCGGCCTCCCAGGCCCCGCTGTGCTTCCGGGTGCGGGTGGCAGAAGGTGGTGTGTTCACTTCCCACCGTGGTTTCTTCCTAACGGTTGACCGTGAGCACCTGAGAGCCTACCCTCTCGCGGCCTCGGCCCCCCCGTTAAGTCGTGCTTTGCAAGGCCCGGAGTCAGACCGCCTACTAGGGGGAGAGATGCCAGAGGGGGAGGGGTGAAGCGTAGGCCCCAGTGGCCTAATGGATAAGGCACTGGCCTCCTAAGCCAGGGATTGTGGGTTCGAGTCCCACCTGGGGTAAGGGTAACTTTTTTGGCTCCTTCCGTCCGTAAAGGACTCTGGAATTCCTGCGCTGTGGTTCCACCGCATTGAAGACTCCAAACACACTGCGTTCGGGCCCACGGGTGGAAGACCGAACAACCGGTTCCGCAAGGAGAGAGCCCAAAGCCAGTGACTACACCCCTGCGCCCCTGGAAGCCACCAACTTTGGGACAGCTCACAGGCCGAGGGTAAAGGGCCAGAGTAAGGGTGTAACGTCACCAGGACACGAAGGGGGACACTGAGACCGAGGCTGGGACACGCCAACTACTTGGCTGCAAATGAGGCCCTGGTACGCTGCACGGCAGAAGGCGAGCAGAGACCAGGCGCGTGGGGAGCCCCTGGGTCCCTAGATCCCTAGGCTACAGCCTCGGAGGCCCGCGCAATGCGGGCACAAAAGTTACTTCGGGGTGAAATTCTCCAACCCTGACGCCACCCCAGGTGGGACTCGAACCCACAATCCCTGGCTTAGGAGGCCAGTGCCTTATCCATTAGGCCACTGGGGCTCGATGACAAGAGTGCACCACGTGGTCCATGGTAACGTGCAGCCGCACGCGCACAGGCCTCACTCGGGCCTGCCATGACGCCCGCCGCACAGTGGACCCGAAGAACGAGGGCCGGCCCTGGGCAGCCTGCAGGACAACCGGAGGGCACACCCGCGGGGCTACGAGAAAAGTTAAGGTTCAAGGTGAGGCGACCGCGCAGTGCCGGGGGGCAGGAAGGTGAGCGTCACGATGCCCGAAGGACGCGCGAAGAGGGCGGTGAAACCGCAAACGAAGCGGGTTAGGATTACTGAGCCACCAAAGCCAGGAGCCCCTCGTCCAAAACTAAGCCGACCACGAAGGGACTCGAACCCTCAATCTTCTGATCCGAAGTCAGACGCCTTATCCGTTAGGCCACGCGGTCACGACGCCCACAGCCTCGCAACGCGATAGTTAAGTGCACCCCCCCTTGAAGGTGGCGTTGGCGCAAGAAACGACCGTGTGCGTTTGGCCACAAGGTGTGTCCCAGGTGTGGCGGAGGAAGAACCACAATGCGGTCCCTGCATCTGGCGTCAGCGCTGGTGCGGCCTTGGGTCACCAAATAAGTCTACGGGTGACTCCTCCTTCGCGAGGAGGCCGCGTGCCCTAATGAATAAAATGTCTGACCTCGGATTAACAGTTTGAGCCCCTTCGTGGTCGAAACGTCTTAGTCCCGAAAAGAGGATAGCACTCTTGTACCGCAACCAAATCCCAGTCCTTGCCCTTGTTTTAGACACGTAGAGCCCTTCGGACCCTCTCACAGCAGCTACTTCCGTCACCTGGACCTGGTAGTTAGGGCTCGTGTCCAAACGGACATTGCACCTGGAAACTTCCGGGCTGACGTCATTACGCAGCCATGCGACCTCATAGTTCAAGAGGCATGTGATCCGGCGCCGCTTGCGAGAAGCCCCAGTGGCCTAATGGATAAGGCACTGGCCTCCTAAGCCAGGGATTGTGGGTTCGAGTCCCATCTGGGGTGAGGTGGCTAAACCACTGCGTGTCGCTTTTGCATCTCTACCTTTTTAAGGTAAAAAACTCATGCGGCACATTTTCTCTTTTTAAGACCATTTGTGTGTGTGCGG